TACACTTGTAGATAATCCTAATAATATAACTACTAGAACATCATCAGTGTCTGTTTATAGGCCAATACCGGATAGGACACATCACTTATTCTAAATCACCCTTGATAAAAATCCCAAGACTCCAAATCTAAGCGAATATGAATAAGCATTATGTTTCACCGAGTTCATCTCTAATGTACGAAATTATGATACATTTTAAAATGCACACCAGATGATGCTACTCTGCAGTATTCTAAAATCACCTAGTAATCGACACAATTCCCACTCCAAATTTATTATGCTACTAGTGATTAGTAAAGTATGAAAAATTCACGTGTGTATAATAATTTTTAAGAACTGCATAGCCTTGCATAGGATATACGAAATACGAACAGCTAACAATAACAGTACTAGATATTGTGATATGAATTTATAATGGGGTAGAATAGAAATGTGACTATCATTTATGTGCATTCTAATATCACCAAATCAATGTGCACCGTGATGGCGAGCTACCTAGAATGGTGGCCACATTACAAACCTGACTGATAGAGCTCAGTCTGCACTGAAGTAAGGACTAGACACATCGCACTAGTTACTAATGTCCAATCAAAGTATTGCAAGGTTTATGTCACCCAAGCTTCCCAGCTACCGTCACACTTATCATTAGTCACTTTTCCCAGCAAGATAGAAATCAAGAGGCAAGGCATTGTACTCATAATTACATTGCTCATCAAAAGCGTACAGTACGTTTCTTACTCCATATTGCCGTTCCGACCACATCCGTAAAGGCTTGGTTATAGTCCCTCCAAATCACATGGATACATTCATATTTTGACATATGTTTGCCATTTTACCCGATGGCCGGAAAAATTATCTCTTAAGGTCGCATTTACAGAGACAGTCCCATACTTTTCTGTGAAGAACTGCGGATTTCAGGTGCCCATCATCCATAACAACCGGTCGTAGGCAGGAAATCGTAGTAGCCGACTTTTAGCCGTAACTAAACTCGTAGGCTGCATGTTTCAGAACAACAAACTACCATCCTCAAACGGATGGCGTCGTACGACGCTCCCACCGAAACTGGAAGGCTCGACTACCATATGGTGCAGTAAAGTGGTTTCGCATTCATTTGCTGTCTAATGAACTTTAATCCATCCTATGTTTTTAGGAGAAACTATTCATATCCATGCTCTTCTCATTTGAATTTTTTGTTTGGAAACGGTTTATTATTTCATGAAATGATAACATAATATATGTTAGTCTTTCTGACCACCACTAAGGTTCTCGTCATGACCAGATTTCAAGTGCAGATCATACTCTTGTCTGTAAATTACCCAATACTAGTTCGTAACACAATGTCACTATCGGCTGACAAAGTGAATAATATTTAGGCATCCAAGTCATCCAGTCGAAAAAAACTTTGTTTTCATGGTTAAATAATTTAGTACGGCTGGCTTCATTTGATGAATTCCTTATCAAGCAACTTTCTGTTATCGAATATACAAAGTAAGCTGCCTTTACTGCTGTAAAACTCTTCTACACATAATATTGTGTAGACGTCAAGATTAACTTTTATAGCAGAATTATTATAGTGACTATATTCCAGTCATGTTATACTCATATGTAAACGCCATACCTACAAATAAGAACATAGTTCGAAAACACAGATTTCCACTTTCTCTCGTTTCTAAATATTTACTAACTAGAATCATTTCCCACAGTTAGTGTATTAAACCTACAATTATCCATTAATGAATACTTCAGTAATCTTAATGTGAGCATGTATGAATTAAAAAGTACTTCGAAACATAACAACACTCTTAAGGTACAGATGCTGGAGTGGCTATGGTACATTTCCTATAACACTTCCTATCCAATACACGAATTCTAAACACTAATTTCAAGTCAACGCTTCAGAGATTTGACGCGCGCGTCAATAAAAGCTAACTTTCATCGACAACTGCCTTTGCTGGCTCGGTGATGAAGATCATATGAACAAAAAGGATAGGAAACAATGAACTCTGGCGACGAACTCACCCCGAACCCATCACAATGCGTAACACAAACTCCGCGCTTCAGTCAATGAAAGTTTACTTCATTTGCTGACTTGCTTAGACTAATATTAGTCTGATAGGTGAACTAAACACAGACAAGAAAGTGGAAAAGTAGTTTATAGTTATGTCGATTTCTTACACTTAGTGACTATATTTTACAGATGGACAGTGAACTGCTGCAAACAACACCTAACTATCGGTTAACAGTAGGTGTAATTTCATACTAGATAACTGACGAACTGGTTTCAACACAAGGAGTGAATGTATCTGCGCTGTGATTGAGGACGATTTTGAGCCATATCACCAAATGTCTCCAGCTATTGGTTTCTACCGTCCCGAGGACCCCAACCAGGAAGTCTACACCTTCTTACGTGGCTTAAACTAACTGTTGTGAATTTCATTGACGGACGACATGTTTTGGTTTGACCACCCCTAGCTTGTCTTCAACCTGATTCTATGTCAGCTAACATTGCCCGTCGAAGGTGATGGCTAGGCATACTTTACACATGTCCTAACCATATAAATCTATGTAACTTCACAGCCTCGTCTATTGACTTCCCCTCCTTACCTAGCACTCGACGCCTAACCTCGATAATGTTCACCCTATCATACCACTTCACACGGGAGATAGAACGCAGGCACCTATGATCAAAGATAGCTAGCCTTTTCATGTCTTCCACTTTCAATGGCCAGGTCTCACAGACATAAGGGAGGACGGAGTACTGCTGAGTAGCATACACGCTCTTTAGTCGATAGCTGGATATCACGTCTACACCAGAGACAGTGTAAACTGGCATATACGAAACCAGCCTTCTGTATCCGTACTGAGATTTCGTCAGCGATCAATCCGTTGGGGCTGATACAACTTTCCAATTAAGTGAAGTGGTCAAGGCGCTCTACCACTTCACTCCCTGTTACTAAGCTAGGAGTCAATGTAGTCCAGCCCTTTAGCATCATCTTACATTTGGTGGGAGCGAATGGCATGCCAAACATTCGAAGATTGTAGCTCAAGGTGTTCAGAAAACTCAACATCTTATCAGCGTCCTCACCTAGAAGGACTATATCATCTGCATATTCCAAGTCAACGAAATTATTCCCTGATGGTAACAAGTCAATCCTTGAATTGAGTTAGGGTTAAGTGCATCAGTACATCTATGGTGAAATTGAACAGAAATGGGGATAGTGGGCATCCCTGACGGACACCACTTCAGATAACAATTCACCATAAGGACTTACCTGGCTGCATGAGTTCGAGTAGAGTGCCTTGATCAGTGGAATATTTCTTCTCTACATTCCCTTCACAGCCGAACATTAGATAAGATTATTTTAAATACCACACGGAGATGCAGTATTAACAACTGGATAACGTTTCGAGCATAAATTATTATCATTAGTAATCATATCAATTTTAGTCACACAGTTGCACAACTTGTCTTATATATTTTCTATCTTTCTGTCTCTCCAACTTCCCTTTGTTATTTGTTGCCACTTTCTTTATCTCCGGTACAGGTGTTGCACCATTCCGATTGCACGTGTGCGGCGTTGAATCTATAAACGACGCTTCAGTGATTAACTTCTCTCTCCACCTAACTACTTTACTTTTTAATACTCTCACCCTGTCCTATCCTATTTTGTGAATAAATGCAATGCAATGGATAAGCTTTCTTCTAGATTATTTAACTCAGTAGGGTCAATCATCATAGTTGTAACCAAATTTCTATGTTCCAATAATCCAAATGACCCCCATCAACTGTGGTGACCTATGTAACCGACCTCATTCACAGTCATTACATGGTATTTGGTAAATTATATTATTTTTCTTAGTTGGATCTATTGGGTCCTTAAGCTGACAAAGTTTATCTCAGAGAGAGTTGGTTGGTTTTAATGTCACCCTAATTCCAGCCTCATTGAGAATACGACGTAAAGACTCTGACGTTCCTTCTTTATACGACAGTACTACAAGGGCTTCGGATTCTATATTATTTTTGTTACTTTCGTCATTTGCATTGCTAATCTTAGTTTTTCTATGGTTCTTCATATATTTTTCAATAAATTCTGGTGGGACGTTATTCACTAGTAATACTTCCTTTACTTGTTTGATTTCATTATTTAAATCTTTTCCCTTACTAGTTAAGCTCTTGGCCCAATCATTTAACTAACCCGATCTTTACCGATTCTGGATGGGATGAATTAAAATCTAAGTATTTATTAGTGTATCGGTTTCCTATAAATGCTAGTATCCAACCCACCACCTTGTTTTCGCTTTATTCTATAGTCTAGCATGGTCAATTTCACCCTGTTCGTTTTCTAACTCAGAATAAATTGGATTCCGTCTACTATTGAGGTTATATGTGTGAAAAAATAAACTTACCTAATATGCAATTACATTCTGGTTCTATACTTACATTAGTAGCAGTAAGTATATCTAGAGCGTAAATTTCTGATGGCCATACAAAACCTTTATTTCGTAAATGATTAAACCACTGACTTTAATGCAGCCTCTTATGTAAGTGAAAAAGTCAATTTGCTCAACCAATTCACTTCCTACTGTTAAAAGGATACTCACGAATGCGAACTGTGAGGAAGCAGTTTACTTTGAGTTAAAAAAAAACTCATGCCAAACATTTCCACGTTACCTAATTTCCACAATAATTGTACTCTGTTGGCAGACACTAAGTCTTCGAACGCAACGCTAATCAAATTAGTCCCTGTAAAGTCAGATGAAATTTCGATAATGTGACAGCCAACCGAAAATTATTACAACTTCCATAAACAGTTAAGTAATCGGGACACGTGAACTACCGCACCACAATACCAGCTGATTCTCCGCAAATATCAGTATAAGAACGCAAAACGTACAATCCACTACTAGTTTTTTACAAAACCTGTAACAGCAACTAAACAGCTACATGTTTAGTTCAATAACTTACATTATTAAGTTATAAATGACTCAAGAATGAATTCTGAAAAATGGACTTTTAATCTCGTATAATTACATTAAGAGGGTTACAACGCATTTAAGCACGATGACGAGATGCAATCACTTACAATAACTAAAGTATATCCTTTTGTCAAAAGCTGAGATGAAAATTTAAGCAATCCCATCAGAATTCAAGTACCATACAGTTTGGCAGGCCCTACAATTACACTTCAGTCCTTAGCGACTTATTAATTCTTCTCTAGTAGTCACCAGCTTTCTCAAAACCAATCAGCGATGAAAATGTATTACATTTTGTAGAAACTATTTAAACGGAGCAATACGATAAACCAATAATATAATATATGCTGGAATTCAATCGAATTGAATGCATAAACAACACTTACGGAATCTGTGAATAATTGAAGTACATGTGTAGAACAAATATTTACATGATTATCCCGTAAGGAGTAGAAATTGAACTAAGTTACGACGTATGAACAGGTAAAATGAATACGGAACACAGTCGTGCTAAAATATTCAAGACAACCATTCTATTCAGGAGTTTTATGAATACAATATTGGCACTATAATTACTTTTACAGTCTGCATTCTCAAACAAAAATAATGATAAATAGATCAATCACATACAGATGCGAGGATTGGCATATATAAGCCATCCAAGTAGAGATCCAAATAGAGTTTCATATCAACTTATCGTTCTCCGTTAAGTATTTTGCACTGAGTAAATGTGTTCAAATGTACAGTTTTTGTCAACCAGCCCGTCCCGAGGTTGGAAGAGGTGTATGTGATGAACTGGTGAATATTGTTTTGTTATGTCCACTGCCAGAAGAACGCCAGAAGCTACCACTAGATGCATTACCTCTTCTATGACCATAACCGAAAGACCGTTGATTGTTATAGCCCGTTCGTCGGACATACAGTTGTGGAACAGTGCCGAATGTGGTTGAATTGAGAAGTCTTTCATCTCTTCTATTCATTCCTTGAGGATTTACACTATAAATGGAAACCAAAAATGATGCATTACTGAAAACATTTAGCAGCCAATTAAATAGAAAAAATGACTCCCTAGAAGGTAATACTGAATTTTCTGGTCCACAAGTGAAAAATAGTTAAACACCTTAGATGTGTAGGTGGATTATTTTTTTTTAATCACTCACTGTACCAATCACTTTGATCTTGTATAAGTGTGAGTATGATTATACCGTCTGAACGCCAATAAGTGTTCAAAGTACTAATCAAAGCGAGGGGAGGTTGAGGGGAAATGACAGTCAACTCAAGAAATTACGAGACTTCATCAATATGAGGCGACTGGGTGAGTTGTCGCTTTTTAATATCAGTCAAGGTAAGGACGTTTTTAAATTAAACAGTGAGATCATACCACAACAATGCACAAATCTATATTCATTCAAAAAAGATGTGTTGACACCCTCGAGACATCCAGAACCAACGACATACAAAACTGTTGAAAATTTACATAGAATTCGTCATCAAAAGTCCGAAAAACTGGATTAATATTCATTCGAATGTTTCTTCCGGGCTACTGAAATGTTATTTCACTCCTGTTTTCCTCTCAGTGACGACTTTACAAAGGTAAGAAAGTCCAGCACACAAGACATCTCACCACCATAACATGTTTCTTATTTGGAGACATCTAAGAACAGGAAACAGGTAGTCACATAATGTTTAGCTGGAGGTATTCCCAATGACATTCATGTATAATCACTCATTACACACCTCCGATAAGCATGAAACTTTAAGTGGTACAAAAGACTGGTCACGCAGAGTCCTGCCGGGTGACGTCTTTTAGGACTGTATGATAGTGGTCCGTTTAGCTTCAGTGAAACAACCAATTACTTCCAGATACTTTTATGTCAGTGAGAGGTGGCTTGAAAGCGACTGAGCACAAATCAGTACAACAGATGAATCTACAGGATGCCAATGAAATTCCACTGCTAAAAAACTACATTCTAAGTTCGTATTTCTATTTAAGAAACAATAAATAACTTCAGGGGGCACTTTAGTCAGCTTGAAGATAACAAATGAATAGATTATACTGGTAAAACTGGCATTTTAGTTTAGAAGCATCAAGTTGAATGCAACACGAGCAAGTATTAAGCTTCTAAATACATATAAAGACACTTGAATTGGCAGTAGCTAGGATGAATCCTCCTTTAAATTTTCTGTTAATAAAGGATATCCTAATAAACAATACCTTTTATTTCTTAATTTGTACCAGGTTTAACATTTTACCTTTTAGCAACGGAAAAGCAAAATTCCGAGAAATCAATTGATCTCAGCAGCTTTTCTCATACTTATTACTTCACAAATATTCATTCCTGAGGATTTCAGAATGCGAATAAGAGCGAAAAAAGGCGAGACGCACATAAACTAAGTTACAGCGAACAACGATAATTTGTGATAAGCCGGTGTAGTTTGTCAAACTTCACACTAACATAAGGTGGAAGTGATTGAGAAGGACAGGACAATAAAAACAATAAATATAAAAAGCAATTTAAGGATACCAAGTCTGGATTCGTTTTGAAAATTTGAGGTGAAATACTCCATTGAATAACTTGGCTAGGTTGATTCAGTTTACAGTACTGCAAGGTTCTCTCATAGAGACAAAACTTCATGTGTAACTAATGCCAATTTATTATAGTAAATACGAATGTCCAATCTCAAACAACTTTTTTCAAGGTGCTTTCTCAGTTCTTAAACAAGTTGCCTTAAGTCCGCGTCGTTTGATAACATCTGGAAATTATTTAAGCAACCCTGAGTATCACGATACATTAAACTGATGGCAACTTCTCGTCGCTGAATTATATGACGTCATTACATCCTAATTTTTGTAATTTTTAAGCAGGAATGACGAGATCAGCTCTTGCTTGAGGTTGTAGACTTAATAACTACAGTCAGTGCATATTTTTAGTCATGACAGAAATTTGCTTGTTAAATAAGAACTTGCAACTATAGTTCATAATTATATTGTGACTCCTGAGACTAGTCCCCCCCCCCAAGTACTAGTCCAAATCGCGTATCTGCTCGCGGTCGTTAAATATACTGATGCAACTGGATTAGATATGTACTAGGAAGCTTTTGGTCGCTTTTTACTTACTGATCAGTACACCCAATCCCTCACGCATTAAATTGAGCCCGTAGTAGTGATTAAGAAACAGTTAACTACTTTCTTTACTAAAAGTGGTAGACTGCTTGGACAACACTTTTGCATCTAGTCCACAGTAGGTGTCCTCTTGTCGCATGATTGCGCAGAGTGGACGAAAATCCCTTTCTATTGAGTAAAGTGCGTTTATACTACGCACAGAAATTTTCCGGCCCACTGAAAAAGTCACCACATCCTACCGGGAGTCATAACAAACAAAAATGTAACAATTAAAATACTGCAGTTTAAATGAAAAAGTTACTGCTACTTACCCATTAGCACGGTCCATCATTTCCGAGCTAATAGTATCGAAGAACGACTTGGACTTATCATAACAAGTATTTTCGTCTCCAGCTGCGCTGCTACCGTCATTGTCAGTATTGTCAGCTGAGGTATTAGACGACCCTGTCTTCTTAAAAAACATATAAGTATTGCCAACAAGACTTACGGTATTTATGGTTATTTTCTCTAACTCCGCTGCAAGTTCTGCATTAGCTCTCTCATAGTCATATTCACCTGAGAAGTTAGTAGCCTCCCCTGATGAAGCGTGTGCACTAGTTCTATATTTCGTCCATTCATGTCCACCACCAGACCGCCCACTCCAGCCTCCATAGTGCCCAGAACCTCTAGATCCACGATGATTAGATGCATATTGCTGGTGGTAACCCCCTCGTCTATCTCTTGAGTAATCGTGGCCCTGATTATAACTGGACGCATTCCTGTAGGTGTCTCCCTTCCTAACCACGTGATCTCTACCAGACCACGCATGGGAGTAATCATGATGACCAGAGCCTGGGACATTACGTTGTCGCCCCGAACTAGAGCCTGATTCCGGGATATTTTTCACACTTGTATCTGTCCTTCCAAACATACTTGGGTCTATGTCACTGCGCCCATCACCGAAGGGTCTTGGTCCACGATTATCGGAGTGAGATTTATCCGTGTGAACTGTGCCCACTGGACCAGGGCGAGAACCAACAACAGGTGCCTGATAATTCGATGAGCTGGGAGAACCGTCTTGACTTAAACCGTCAAGTGAAAAAGACTGAGGTGGAGCTGGTAGAGGTACTTCGGGACGTCCAGTAGTAGCACGATTTGAAGTCAAATCTATTAATCACTGAATCAAATAAATATAAAATTACCCCCACGTCCTCTGCCACTACTTGATTGTATACCAGGAGGATGAGGCAAGGTGGACTGAAAAATATGTAATACACTACAAAAAAACACCTACCCCGGGAGCCGCACTAACGATCGCGGAATCTTCATTCAGAAATACTGAAGAATGCACAACGCGCACATCATCCAGATCTCGACCACGAAACACCACCTGATTATACTCTTCGTTTCTTGGAGCCACCGGCCTTTCACATGGACGATCCTCTGTGCCGAAAGACCATACTGAAAGTCATTATAGTTCACGCAAAAAATACCTTTTGACAGGGTAATAACCGGTTCATTGGGTGTGTCGAAATCTATAGAGTGAAGATTTCCTTCATATCTTATCTTCGCTTTGGATATAATACTGACACGACAACCAATAAGAGCCAAGTCAGATGTGTTCATCTTTGGACAAATGGAGGTCAAGTTTATCCTTAGCGCACTCGAGACAACGCAAGTCAAACAAGATGTCGAAGTGCAGCGAGGTAGTTTTGAGTAACACTTTAGAAAAACATTTTATCTCGCATGTATGGTGAGACAACATGTCAGCCATCACATGACCTTTTAATTTTATTATTTTTATTTCTTTGAGTTTCTGGTAGAACATAGGTCTTCAACAACACACCACTTTGTCCGATCTTCGGCCATCCTCTTCAGCTTGGATCACGATTGCCCATAATCCCTCGTCTCTCCTTCACCAAACGATTTCCTACATGTTACCATTAGGTGACCCACTCGTCGCTTCGCATTGGGATTCCATTTGAGCGATGGCCTGGTGCCTGATGTCATTCGAAGGTTTCCTTAATGTATGCCCGATCAATTCATCTCCATTTTCTCCTACATAATTGTTGAGTGATCGGCTGTTGGTTGGTTTGTTCTCGCAGTTTCTTGTTACTTATTTTTTCTGGCTATTTGATTTTCAGTATGGAGCAAAGCCAGCTGTTGATAAAAGTCTGCAACCTATTGGAAATCCTTTTCGTTACAAGCCAAGTTTCTGGCCCGTAAAGAAGGACCGACTTGGCATTGTTATTGAAAATCCGAATCTTGTTCCTTGTGTTGAGTGTAGAGGATTTCCAAATTGGTTTCAAGTTGATGAAGGCGTATCTTACCTTTCCTATTCTGACTGGCTTTGACATTTTCATCCGTTCCGTCTGTAGTTAAAACGATGCTTCCTAGATAAGTGAAGGAAGTAACCTCAGTTAAATCTCTCTCGCTGATAGTAACTAGTGCTGTTTGTTGTTGCTGTTGGTTGGTTATCTTAATCATCTCCCTCTTCTCTGTGCTCACCTGAAGTTTTGCCTTCGCTGCTACCTTCTGGTAGCTTATTGGTTTTCCCCTGCAAATCTTCGAGTTTATGTGACATATATCATGTGCGAAATCCAGATCTTCTAGAGTCTTCTCATAGGTGGTCCAGCGTACTCCTGTCTCTTCGTACCCCACAGCCTGACGCATAATCTAGTTCACCGCAATTAACAAATATCATTGGTGATAATGGACAACCAGCTTGTCTTACTCCTATATGCACTTCGAACGCGTCTTTGAGTTTTCCGTTTTGGATCACCTGACACGTGGCATCGTCATATGACTGTTGAATAAGTTTGGGTATACTGGGTGTGCGTAGGTCTATTTTCTTAGTCGACCGCCATACAGTTGCCATTTTAACCGATGACGGTATTATCTGCTTTCTGTATTACATCATCTAAGAGACTTGCGCGTCTGTCCAGAAACTGTGGTCCATTAACATCGTGGACCTGTATTTATGGCCGTCCTTATTTTCTGCGCAACTACGTCATCAGTCCGGGTGTAGGCACACATGATTATATGCGCACGATTTAGGATAACATAGTGTCTTTTGATGAGTAGTGGGTGCTAGTCTCCAAACCCATGAGCGCATCCTATCTTTCTATGGAAGAGGTTAAATCTACATTCCTATCAGGGTGGCTTTTTCTGCTGTGTTGAAATTATTCCTTTTATGCTGTACGAGTTTTCTAGTTCGCAGTCAAATAAACGTTAAGAATAGTATACACGTGACACGTTAGTAGCAACCATATATGTATATATGTATATAACTTTTCACTAATTGAGACCTCAAAATTTGTAAAATGAATAACTGAAGTACAGTGGAGTAGCAAGTCTTGAAACCTTTCGCGCTGGAAGGGAGATATGCGGACATGAAGGTAATAATTATGTAGAATTCAGCCTCTAAAAATCTTCAGCTTCATAATAAATTCGATTGAAAGGCTTTCTTCACTGAATATTGCGTTCTTAATGTTTGGTTGTGCATCGGTGGTCCAGCGGTAGAACGCTCTCCAGTCACGTGCGCGGTTCAAGGTTCAATTCCTAGCTGACTTCGATAGTTGGGCCAGCAAAATGGGAAGGTTGGGGGCGAGCCTAGAAACCCCATCCGGTAAAAATGAAACCACTGCTAACAAAACATCGAGGCCCTAGCTTGAAACCTTACGTCCAGAAAGGAACACAAAATAATGAAATAGAAATAATAATAAATAGTAGTGTCAGGTTAGGAATTAATAATCCACTGTTAACCAAGCAGTGCGCTAGACTATGGAAAATGACTTTTGCAGCGTACTCATCTGTTTTACACCATTTCCGATGGATGTGAAATTCTGTTATGCTTTACATTATAAAATAGCTTGTAGCGGGAAATAAGTCAGACAATGTTCTACTCAAACGTTTACGTTTTCGTGCTTTCAAAAATTATCATATGTATTTATCTGAGCATATTTGCTAGCAAGAATTGGATAGTTCCTGCTATCAGGTTAATCTAACTTTCGCTGGTAAGTGAACTGCTCAGTTCGCTGGCTAGTTTTTGGAAAATGCAGTCAGTTTAAATTAGGCCACTGAAACTAGAACAAAGTATTTTGAGTGCCACTTGCTCTTGACGAGCTCATCCTAGGTGTATGCACTTCCTTTCGTCTTACCGTGCTTCCAGTTGGCTTTAATCAACACACTACTAAATTATTATTAGCAGTAAAGCTTTTGAGTGAAATTTTTCATTGATTGATTAATTTCTACCGCTTATAACAGTTTGATTTAACTACAACTACTACTTTCACCATGGAAAACCAGTGTGGTAAAGTGATGATTGATGGGCCGCTCCCTGTACAATACAGATTCATACACACTAAACATTTTCCACTCACTGCAAAACGACATTTTCAGTTGACATGCTAGCTTCCCTGAACATATGCTATGACAGCATATTACATGGGCTGAACGTTCGATTCAAGACAAGCTTCTGGAAAAGGAACAGAAAAACCAATTGACAACTTAAACACGTAAACATATAAGCTTTTAATCAATCGCTTGATTTACGAAATTGAGAAAAGTCTAGATGCAAAAGCAACAATATACGTAAATTGTTTATTTATTCAGGTATTTTTGACCCAATAATGTCACACAACCTTAGGTTACACGTTGGTTAAGTGTTTTTTTGACACAAGTGAACCGCATTGCCATAAAGATAATGTGATACTGTACCAAAGATTACTCGTAGATATCATATTGCATCACCGTTGGGTGGACCAATCCTCCTGATAACCAGTCTGAACTGCGGGGAGCACAAATTACCTGCCCATTTTCCACCCATAATCAAGTATTTTAGAATATGCTTACAACAGTAAAACAAATCGGAAAATAATGAAACACCCGAGATGACAGGAATGATAACCAGCTCTATGGAATTTAAGTCTGGTTTTATCCATGTTATAGTAATAAATTTATTATACTTAGCTTATTATACTAGATATACACCTTTTAATGCCCCTCAGAAAATAGCTTTTTTAAAAACAGACATGACTACAGTTTTAGTCAGATGTGGCAAAAGATGCAGGTACAAATCTCATGATATTGTAAAAATGATGTAGTTCCACATAGTCACCACTGGACCCGACAACTCAAGTAAAAAAGCTGCTAAAATTATTACCATACTCATTAGTAGTGTAAAATAATGGATTCTTTGACTGTAGCTTCCATAAGCCTTAAGTTGCACAGCCACGAAACGACTCATTATTATTTTTTTCTTGTTCCATGTGGTTGTCAAATGGAAATTATAAAAAATACGACTCTGTTGTACATAACTATCACAAGGGATAAAATGTTGGATTTCCATAGAACAAAGAAGTTTCATGTGCACAACTTCTACATAACCATTAGTAAACCTAGAGAAGCAACTTCTCATGTGCTTTCATCTCACACATCGTTTCAGTATAGAGTAGGACTCATTTGGGACTTCAGTAGTAACCCTTTTTGTTTGTTAAACCACGGTTTGCTCCTTGTTGCTAGCTATTTACATATTTTAAATCACGAAAAATACCCATTTATTCATAAGTAAAAACTCAATTTTTGTTCAGCGAAGAAATTTCTTTTCAACAACTTCATTTTCAAGCTATACAGTCGTATTTATGTAACAGAAAAGGTTATTAAGTGGAACTAAATAATTGCTCAGTCAATATACATATATATATATGATAAGGATAACGATAATTAAACGTAATCTCTGAAAACGTGTAGCTGAACACTATCCGGTTTGGTTAATGAAAGGCGAACGTAGAACTGCGAAGCCGTCTATTTGTGATCACCTGTTAGAGTCTGGTGATTCAGCCCCACGTGATTTATCCTTCAGCATTGTCTACATGGTAAATCGAATCGCTCCAAAAGTTTACGTTATCTTCACTTATGCATAGCCGAATCTTTAGCTATACATGAACAGAAACCTAAATTATGTGTTCAAAAACGTTTTGTTAAACCCCTTTCTTTACCTTGGTCATAGTAAAGTTCTTTCTAGTTTTTATTTTACCACCTGAATTCTTTCCACTTCACATCGCATTCGTACTCCTAATTTTAAAATTTTTAGACAACACTTGACATTAAAAAATTTTGATATCGATTAAATTATAAAACAATCTTTAAAAATTTTGTGATTTATCCAGCTCTACCCCTTATAACATTTTAATTATCGTTATTCTTATCATATATATATGTATATTGACTGAGCAATTATTTAGTTCCACTTAATAACCTTTTCTGTTATATAAATACGACTGTACAGCTTGAAAATAAAGTCGCTGAAAGAAATTTCTCCGCTGAACAAAACACTGTGTATTTACATATTGGTTGAATATCTCAATTTCACTTTTGCTAACCCTAACTGATCAGACCATAAGTACAGATGCCATTATTTTTCATGCAAATGTATAAAGTAGACCATAAGATACGCACTTACAGAGTAGTTTTGTTAAAACTATATACGCTCACCATCATTGCATGCACTATTACTGTTGCACAAATGGCTTGTGAAACAACCCCTGTTGTAACAACAAAGCAACTTAGCATGGAATTATTACGTACTTCTGAACTTGTGATGCATTAATAAATCAAGAGGTGAAGCTTACTCACCTATCTACTCACTCTATCAGCTTTATTTTTCAGCCCGCGACCTCTTATAGGTAGTGAGAGGTGGGCACAAGACCGACTTTGTACTCGAGCCGCTGACAGTGAATCCAAGTGTATTATATGTACATCTCCTATAACCATATA